AATTTTTTACTTGGTTCGTAGAACTATTAATAATGCTTTTGGAAAAGTCAAGTTTACGCGAATTCCAATCTATTCGAGGGTTATATTTTTCTAGCCAGGATAAACCTAAAATAACTGGATTGGACGGGGATTTAATTATGTTAAAAGCTATGTAGCTATCATGACCGTCTATTGTTACTTTTATAGGATGAGTTTCATGAGTGACATCTCCAGAAGACAAGGGACGACCATCTATGACTTCTACATGTACTGGTTTAGGTTTCTGTACAAAGGATATTTTACGACTTTTAATAAATTGTTCATCTAAAAGACATGCTGAGGCTCCCGAATCTAATAAAGCAGAGGCTTTGTAATTCTTAGGTCCTAAATATAAGTCTATTATAAAACAAGGAGAGGGTTCTGAGGAGAGGATAGGACCTTCATTAGGAATTGTACAAGGTTCCAGCTGCACGGTCCCTATTGTAGCTGGACGAATCCGTTTTCCGACATGTTGTCTTCTTTGACCGTCGTACCCCTCATTTTATAGTTGCGTCGTTTCTTTGGACAATGTTGAGCAGTGTGCTTAGGTTCTCCGCAATACAAACATAATCCTTCTTGACGACGATGAATCTTTTCTTACTCAGTTAGAGTTTTAAAACGTACCGCGTCAATTTGCATGTCTTCTACTTCCGAATGTACGTTTGGCAAAGATGTTGATGTTGCCATTGAGTAATAACGTTGAGGTTCCCGTGAATGATTCTCAGATCGAAATTCAAAAAGTCGATTATCACATTTTACCGCAAAATCGATTGCTTGACTCAAAGTTTGAGGATCAGGTAAGTTGAGCATCAATTTCTTTACTTCGTATTGCAATCCATAAAGAAATTGACTGATGAGTGCAGCATCATCCCACTTGATGTCAATTGCAAGTTGTCGAAATTGTGAAGCATATACTGTTACTGAGCGATTTCTTTGTCGCAGAATTCGAATCTTATTTGTTGCAACACGAGTTGCATCGTGTTCACCATACATAGATCGAAACTCCGCCAAAAAAGCTTCCAAATTGTCCAATATTGGATTTCGTTGTTCAAGAAAAGACGAAAACCACGATAAAGCAGAACCAGAAAGTAGAGTGCCAATAAACCTGACTTGTGATCCTGGAGTTGGATAGCTTTGCGGTTGAAGTTCAATTGCCAATTGTACTTGATTGATGAACCCTCGAAACTTTGATCTCGTACCATCAAATTTCTCAGGTAAGGCAATTCTTGGTTCTCTAGTGCTTATAGGGTGTTGTACAATTGGAGAAGGAACGTGATTTGTTGTAGATGTTGAAGCAGCTCCGATCATCTCTATATCTCCACTTTCTGCTATTCTTATTTTTTCCTGTGTTGGTGAATTGAGTTGATGCATCGCAAGCATTAACTCCCTCATTTGCTCTTGCATTTGTGCCATTGCACTCTTCATTTCAACAAGCTCTGCCATAATGACACTAAGAAGAAAAATTTGTTTGATATTGCTCAAGACAAAAGAAAAGAAAGACTTGATAACAAAGAAGATACTAAGAACAATATCAGTTTAGAAGTGGGTAATCCGCAAACTTCTAATACGCTTATGTCTTGTCAAGAGAAAGGGGTAATCCACTCTTACTCAAGAAAAAACAAAGCTCTAATATTGTAAGTGTACTCTTGTCAATCTGTCAAGGACAAAGACTCGATGAGAAAAAATATACACCAAAAGGCTATCTCGATATAATAAGTCAAAATATAAACAAGTAGGTATATTAAAAGGAAACTGGAATGGCTATTGCCACAAGACAAGAAACTAAAGACTCTTGAACCTGGACTAGAAGCAAGAAAGGAGTTGACAAGAGTGAAGAGGGCTTCACTCTTGCCTCTATATATACTATCTAACTAGAAGCCACGTGGCGATGTTCTATAAGACCTCCAATATATGTTGACTTTCTAGTCCACATGCCTTTGCTTGCAAGGCAAGTTTTCTATGGATGGATCACGTAGTTAGCTTGTTCTTTAAGCTTCCAACATGTGTGGCACATGGCTAACTTATTGACCAAGTTTCTAACCTAAAAGTCAACTATAGACTCCTATAAAGTCAAAGCAGCGTCTATGAAGCTTCTAAGAAGCTTTTCTAGAAGATATTACACAATTAACCTACTTTTATCTACTTTTACATACTTTTATCTATTCATATAGGTAATTATATGTATGTCCGTGACACCAAAGCATTTTCATCTTTGAGTAATAAAATCAACATTAACTATTGATTTAATCCTTGTCAAAAAAATTCAATTAAGTATGTCTTTTGATCCTCTTGTCTATGATATCAAGAATCTTTCTTCAAAGTCTCATGATGCTTGTAAGTTTGAATTAAAAAACAACCTAGTATAATTCTAAGGATGCCTATACATTTCAAAAAGTGAAGCCCTTTTATGTGTTCTTCAAGCACATCATGACTTTTCAACAGCCAAACATTTTGGATACAACAAGACTTTAAAACTTATATCTAGAGATTTTTGGTGGCTACAAATGTTGAAGGCAATGAAAGACTTTGTCCAATCATGTGATGTTTGTTCAACATCAAAAACTCCTTGTCATTGATCTTATAGACTTCTTTAACCAATATCCATTCCAAAACAACCATGATCTTTTATTTCTATGGAGTTTATCATAGATCTTTTAGTCTCATGTTCTTATGACTCTATATTTGTGATAATAGATCATTTTACCAACTTTTTCTACAAGATATAATAAAATTTATATACTTTTATTTATTTCTATCTAATACTTTTTATTTAAGTAATTATAAGTCTTGGTTATGTCTGTGACAACCATGGATTAATTTCTTTTTTTATAAACTTAAATTAAAAATTACATATAATTATTAATTTATCTATTAAAAAAAGCTAATGATTGATAGTTTTTTTAAAAAAAAGATTAAATAATACATCTTTTATTATATAATTCAGTTTTATAAATTTTAAAATTTATTTAAGTAAAAATTATATAGATAAATAAAAAAAATTAGATAGAAGTAGGGCTCCAATTAAAAGACTTGTTACAATACTTAAGTTGTTTTATTAGAAATTTGATAAAATTTAAAAATTTAGTCAAAATCAACTACTTAAATTCTTTAAGATTATTTTTTCATTGATATACATTTTAGCTATTGGATTTTTTTAGATTAAATATAATAAGTTAATATAATAATATATATGAAAAGATTGGACATTTTTTTTCTAGTCAAAATATACACATATTTAGTTATTTATATTTAGTATAATTTTTAAAACTATATTTTTATTTAATCAATGATCAAATCATTAAATTTTTAAAAAATTATAGATTTTTGATATATCTATATTATATTACTTAAAAAAATATTTTTTATTTTTAAAATAAAATTCTTATTCTTAAAATACCATAGCTTTTGAAGAATAATAAACTTTTATATTGCACTTTATTTTTGGGAATTTTTTTGGCTTCAATTATTTCTTTTTGTTTTTTTCTTAGATCTCTACTTTCTTCTCTCTATGCTCATTGGTTTCAATTTTCTTATCCTCTTATATTTTAGAAGAAAAAGTAAAAATTACATAAGCTTTGTAGGTAATTTATTAATAAGTTTAACCAATGATGCTAAAATTGCATTATATTGTGGTTAAAAATTAGTTAAAAATCAAAGCATAATAAATAATTTTAATAATTTAATCTTTTTTCTATCTTAATTTTATTTTTATAACTTGAGAATAAAATTTTGTAATTATTTACCATTAAGATTGCCTTGTGACTTGTTCCATTCATTGAAGCAATTAAAATCATCACATCTCCATCTAAAGAATGAATCTGGTTGTTAAAACTATCATACATCTATTTTTTTTTTAAATCTCTATAAAGTCTTTTATTCCAATACATATTTTTTATGATAAAATAAAAAAAATATTTTTATATTCTAATTATGAATATGTTATTAATTTTTTATTCAGTAATTATACTTTGATTTAAATTTTTTAATAAAATTTTAATTTTTATAAAGAATATTGATTTTCCAACACATATTATATATTTAAATTTTTATTTTCATCTAATTATAATGATCAAAGTTTCATTTATTGGATCAAAATAAATAACATCACGAATTATTTTAATAAAAAAACCAACAAAAGACATAATATTATCAAAACATAATAAAATTATTTAATAGCTTTATTACCTTTCATATAATTGTATGAGGTTTATAAAATTCTAAGATTACAAAACACATAACAAAACTAAAGATAGTCTTATTTTGATTAGATTTTTTTTAAATTAGTTGTTTTGTTATAGCTACAAAAAAAAAGTCCTATAAAAATGTTTTAATAAAAGAAATTGACTTGGAATCTATTTAAAATATTATTTTTATTTTTTTACCAAGAAAACCTTTTTTAAAAAATATACCTAAAAATTATTATAAACTAATTGTATTTCTTTTTCTTCTTAAGTGGATTTTAAATTCATTACATACTTACATAAATGCCGATACATGCAGAATATCACTTTCTCGTGTAAAAAGCACTTCAACTTTTTGAGAGAAAGAGTAATTACCAAGCATCAACATTTTCCACTAATGAATCATCACCCAGCTCTCACCTCTCAGCAAACTTCAAAATCCGAACAGGCTTTCGCAGGATGGGATGATCCAAAAGCTCTCAGAATGTGGCGTAAGGAGCCAGAAATGCTATCAGAATGGGCTTCGACTGGCAACCGCCGTTGTCGGAAGCGAACGATGAGGACTACGAGATGCCTGGTGAGACTGCGAGGAAGTATTGCACAACGAGCCACACGGCCGTGTGGATATCGTCGTCTTCGATGAGCGCTCCGGTGGATGTTCACCCAGATGTGGGTCCAAGTCGAGGCATGAGATGAAAAGTAGACTGAGGGAGTTATTTTAAATCATCTGGTCAAAAATATCTGCGGTAAAAGCTTCTGTATTAGATATCTGTGCGGCGTTTCTCTCGGGTAGTAGAATACTGCTGACCATAACCAACTGCCTCATCTGCAGCTCACTTGTTCGTGAATTAGCCGACGCAGTTGGGTTTCTCAGGATCAGGATATATGGTTAAAGTTGCCAGGTCAGTAGGATAGGCGGTTTATTTCAAGGATACCATCGACAATCATCAAGTTGCTGCCCTTGTGGTAATAGAGGTGGAGAGAGCGAGTGAGAGAGAGCGCAAGAAGGAGCTAGTGCGGACAGCTTACCCATCCACTGGTGGAAGAAGTTATCGATGGCACAGTTTCGTGTGCTTCCGGAGATTTTATCAGCATTTGCTTTAGTGCTAGATGCAATGCTGTTGCCAAGAAGTGGAGTTGTATAGACCTGTAAGGGATTTTCTCTGCAGGAAAGTGGATTGCAGGTGGAGGTGTGGATGGTGAGGCGGCGAAGTGGGTTGTGAGTTCGTGTTTAAGGTGGTGGAGATGAGATAGTTGTTGGTTTGGAGGCTCACGAAAGCGCAATCCATGCTGCGAGTTACGCGGTCGGGGGTGGCGTTGAGATGGAGGAAATTGAGGACCTTGCTCGTTTGGGGACAGCAGCAGAAGCATGCTGGCTTCTCGGGGTTATCTACGCCTCCCCCGCCGGCCATCCTTGTCCCCCACTTGTTTCAGTCTGGTGCGTGGAAATGAGTACCCCTGACATCACAATTGAGAATTGTCCACTGTCTGTTTAGCTAATTAACTTTGTGTCTCTGAGCTATGAAGAAAATGGGAGGCGATAAGAGAGGAGCAAATCATTTAGTGCAACATAGAATGTTTCGTTGGCACAACCATAGTCGCTATTCGAGGTTTTATCGAGGTGTTAAGAGTAGATTTGTTTGCAACCATGGGAAGTCGCAAAAGGCATTGTAAGGTGTGGAATTATTTTTTACTTGCATATGCGCAATTCAAACTCCATTTGGTTCTGCGATGCACACCCGTGCTCACTAGTTGAAGGTTTAACTAAATTCTCGACCTTCAGTTGGAGAATAAGTCTTGGTAGGATCACAGGATCTGGATTGATGGTTTGGGCAGTGAAAGCGAAAATAGTTGATTTGTCGGATTATCGAGGATTTCAGACATTTAGGGGAGAATATTTTGATTGGACTGCTAACATCCACTAATTAATAGCAATCAGACTGTGCTGCTTTCCTTGGCGCTGTAAGAAAAACGTGGCAAGATCTCTGCTTACGCAATTTGGTGTTAATCGCAATTTTCTCGTTTAGATTTAGTTGTTGCACTCAACTCTAGGCTAATTTTTTATAGCAGGAACAGCATCCTGTTGGAAGATTGACGGCAGAGCAGTTGCCCAAGATATCAAGGATGTCATAGCAAAGCGGGTGATACAATTGCGTGATCAAGTGGGGGCAGTTCCTGGTTTAGCAGTCGTCCAAGTGGGGCACCATAAGGCTTCTGATTTATATTCACGAAGCAAGCAACTAGCTTGCGATGAAGTGGGAATCGCTTCCTTCGCTGCCTACTTGCCTGCTACAACTCCAGAAGATGAAGTTCTAGAGCTTGTGAATGTACTCAATGCTGATGATCGTGTCCACGGTATCCTTGTTCAGCTTCCGATGCCTCCAGTAAGTTCTGCGAAATTCGTTGGGGCTTCACATTGTTGAAAAGACGTGTTTGTTCTTGCTTGACTTCATTTGTTTTTAGGCAGTGTCCAATAAACACGGAATGGGCATTACAGCATATCCAGTTGGACAGAGTACTGAGAGCAGTGAGTTTAGACAAGGACGTGGACGGGCTGCATCCAATCAATTTGGGAAGACTGGTTTTACGAGGTCTCCACCCTACCTTCATACCCTGCACTCCTTTAGGATGCTTGGAGATTCTACGCCGCTCAAGAGTACAAATTGAGAACAAACATGCCGTTGTCATCGGTTGCAGTAATGTTGTCGGTCTTCCAACTGCTCTCCTCCTACAGGTACGTCCTGCTTACTGAGTGTATATATTTGCCTCCACAATCACGTCCTGAATAATCCCGTCTTTGCTGATTCTGCTTGTCCAAAGGTGTTTGCAATTGTGTAATGTGATGTAGAAGTACCAGAACCTTGCTATCCTCCGTTTCGTGGAAGACTGATGTGTTTTGAATGGTTGGTGGGGCAGAGACAGAATGCGACGGTCACTGTCATACACGAGCACACACCAAATCCAGCTGAAGCCACCAAAAGAGCAGATATTGTTGTTTCAGCCACAGGCGTTGCGCAGCTTGTGCGAGGGCACTGGCTTAAAAAAGGTGCAGTGGTTCTTGACGTCGGCACCAGTGCCGTGCAGGTATTCCCCCTCTCTATATCAAAGCATTTATGAGGAATATGTTTCGCCGACCGGGAGATTTTCCATATCACTAAACACATGTTTGTTTTGAGGGTGTGACATCGTCTCAAGCGTCTGTGCTCTATACCTGACTTTTCTAAATATTCGCTTTCGTTGGCATTGGTTAATCCTTACTCTCCATGATCCATTAAAGAGGTTCCCTTCTGCAGGATACTGCTGCAGATGGTGGATACCGACTCATTGGGGATGTGTGCTTTGAAGAAGCTGAATTTGTGGCGTCAGCAATAACACCAGTGCCGGGAGGCGTTGGTCCCGTCACTGTGGCGATGGTTCTTTCCAACACCCTTCAGTCCGCGCTACGCTTCTTTGGCATTGCTACAGATACTAGTGACAACAGTTTCACTACCGACAGTCACCTCATTTTACGATGCAAATAGGTGAAAGTATAACTTTCTCTCCGTAGATTGTACATTTTACCATCTTCGTGAGGTGCATACCATTAGCGAGATTTCAATGGGAGTATCCATGCAGACGCGTTATTTGGTAAGCAAATGTGTATGATTTGGTTGATGAATTCAAGGAAACTTTTTTATTACGCGGTTTTGAAATCATATTTGTGTGATACGGTGGACTATGTCAGCTCAGTAGCAAAGGTCTAGTAATTAGGTGTAATCTGCTAATGAGAGTAACTCTGCTAGGCTACAAGAACAGTGGATTAGGGTGTTGCCCGTATTCAACAGTCAGTCAGCATAAGCATGTCAGCTTCATTTCACATATGCTGTAGATTGTACTTTCAAGACAGTCAAATACCAAAGCGTCGCAATAAGAACTCGCCACCTGTGTATTGAGCTTTAGAAACTACAAAAAAGAGTTCAAGTGGGTCCTGGCGACACTTCGAACCTCTAGTGAGTTTGAGAAGCAACATGTAGAATTAAGAGAAGGTAGAATGTACAAGATTCTGAAGACAAAAAACCTATAAGATACCCATTTGCCCAGCAATACATTAACGGATTCTTTGGCATATCTTCGCATAATAAACTTTTAGGAATTGATCATGATTTTCCACAACAGACTCGGAAATGAAGTAGCATCGAAGTCGTAGGTTGTGACATTATCATAAAACACTGACACAAACTTCACTAGTCTGCCCTCGATAAGATTTTCCAGCACGCATGCTCCAGATCAAGATGAATCACCACTGCATACACTGAAACAAATGAGATTCATTCAGATGTCAATACTTAGACCAACCCCTGTCAGCGTAGCAGAAAGATTATGGACCAGAACAAAGGGATGTAGCCGCAAGCCCTTGTAGTGCACAAGCTGAAAGGCAAGGTTTATGTTTCTTCGCCCCTCCGCTCGAAAGCTGCACATCGCACGTCATCTTATTCTTCGAAGTGCTGCTTCCAATACCTTCCAGTTCCACGGTTGTAGAGATTTCCCTCGCTACATCAACACGTGATGTCGCCGAAACATCGGTGTAAGTCACCAAGTCACTGGCAGTATAGTAGCTTGGGAAATAGTCTAAACATGCACATGGAATAGGAGCACACAAGCTTCAAACTGTAAATAGTTACTCATAAATAGGCTTCCCTGAACGAGAGACAGAGCTGAATGCATTTTTGTGTTCAACACACGTCTTCAGCTGTGAACTGGACTGAGTCAAATTTTCAGAGACATTTCCTTTCTCCTGTGCACCCCTGAAAATTATCACGAAAGCAAATCGCTGGTCAAGATTCTTCACTCTTGTCAACATCGGAGGTTGCTGCTTCAGTAAAGTCCCCTGGACGTAGTTTTGGCCTACAACATAAATTAGATTTCTCGGATAATCATTGACTTGGCAGTTATCCCAAGAACAGTCATATAAAGGAGATGGCACCAAGCTGTCAACTTCAAGAAGATGCATCACTCTTTCTCCCTCTAGAAACACGAGGCCTCCTTGGTCCACTATGAATCTGGAAAACCTTTACATTAAATTGTGAATTAGAAATACAATATTCAGGAGTCAATTCCAGTTTCCTACGTGAGGAGGCAAGTCGAAAAGAAGCTGAACTCGCCCAGGACTGCAGACTATGAAACAAGCTACTCTCACACACGAGGACGCAATGATGCTTCCTGCGATTGAGGAAGGAAAAAACATGTCATTAGGGTAATCACAGAAGTATAAGTTATAACTAAGCTTCTTCAGAATACACTATGCATGCGAAGGGTCCTGCAAACAGTAACACCATCAAAGGAGAAGTGACATACCGAGGACGGGGCCTTGTGTAATCAGAACTTCGATTAAGAAGCGAAGCCTCATAATGAACATCATCCGATATGTCGCTGTTCCCAGGATCGTCGCTGCCGTAATCACTGTCGGCAAATCTCATTTCTGCTGTGACTCTGTAGATAATCCGCCCAAAAATATACGTTCTTTCCGCATAAACCCTAGCGGAAGAGAAAACTACCCACCAGTCATTCGAGATGAGTGGCAAGCCTAAATCTCACAGAGGTCAACACTGATGTAAACGCCCTAGTCATGAGATGATATGGGACGCAGCAAAGGAGATCAATGACCTCATTCCGCTCCAAAATGTCGGGATTACAAGCCAATACTTGACACACATACAACGCCCACCCGACCACCTCCAAGAGAGCAGCCACATTGAACACCATTCCCGACTCAAAAAAATTCTCGCTCCCCACCACCACCTCCACCTCCGCACCTCCTGCTACCGGAAATCCTCTTCTACCCGCAATCAACCACACATCCTTCCGACTCTTCAACAACAGGACAATCTAAAACTGCGCCAAACTACGCAGGCTCTGGAGATCGAGACACGGTACACCACCGCTCCTAAGGCCTTCCCCCACGCAATTCTTCACCCACAACACATTCACATCCCAACCCGCTCATCCTCAGAAGCTGTTGTGAAGAACGGGTCGGGTGAGTGCATGGATCGGCCACGTCTGGAAGCCGTGGAGTCTTCATCCAGGCCGGATAGGCTCTCCCGCTCACCTATGCGGCGATGCTAGAAGCTACAACGGATTTGAACAATGAACGGGGCTGCGGGGGGTCTATCGATCCTACCAGCGACAATAATGATAGCCGTGACGATTGCGCGCCGCGACGACAGACGTTTATCCCCGAGACAAGAGGATGATGGAGCCTCTGACTTGTTGATTCTTCCAGGAGTTGAGACGATGGTGATCCTGCGCTTGCACAGTGGCATCGCGGCATCGCAGCAGCGGCGATGCAGCGATGCAGATTTCGCGGTCGGAACGCGCTCAGTTTCGACGACGACGACGACGACCCCCACAATGGCTTCGTCGCAGCTGAGCGACAACAAGGCGTCTACAATATTCATTCATCCATTTATAGTTGCATGTAATTATAAATTAAACCTTTTATTAAAAGATTGCTTTTTAGAAAAGATCAATCACAGCACAGTATGAAAAAAACTATCTTCTTCAATTAACTTGTTTTGTGGAATGCATTAATTTAATGGGCAAGATTTGCAATCATGCTCAATATTCAGAATATCTATGTGGCAGCTTGAATACCAAATTGGACTATTTTTGGAAATAGAGGGAGAAAAGACCAAAGTGTAAACACTGCATGATTTTGAGATGGAAATTGAATATACTAACCCACAAGATAATTTTAAAAACATAATAATAATGATAATAATGATAATGATAATAATAATGATAATAATAATTTTAAAATATTAAATATCAATAAGTAATATACTACTTTACATTTATATATGGAAGATAAAATATATAAAACAATGTAAAACATATAGTATTTTATGAATACAATAAAATATTGTGTTAATTTTCTTTTCTTTAAAAAAATTAATATTTATTATATACATTCATAAAATATTAAAAGTATAAAATATGTAAAGAAAATTTGAAGTCCCATTCTTGCAAAAACTATATTAAAAGAAATATTATTTTTCCACAAATTAAAAAGATAAATTAAAAAAAATATAGTGAGAGAGATTTTTTAACATTACATGCCATGGATATATGCATGTAAACTAGTAATTACCTATATAAATAGGTAGAAGTAAGTAAAAGTAGGTAAAAATAAGTTAATCCTATAATACCTTCTATGAAAGCTTCCTAAAACCTTCATAGATGCTACTTTGACATTATAGGTGTCTTTAATTAACTTTTTGATTAGAAACATGGAACAAGTTGGCCATGTGCCACACATGTTGTTAGCTTGAAGACCAAGCTAACTATGTAGCCCACATGTAGAAAAACTTGCCTTGTAAGTCAAAGCATGTGTTCTACAAAGTCAACACATATTGGAGGTCCTATAGAACATTACCACTTAGCCCCTAGTTAGATAGTATATATAGAGACAAGAGTGAGGTCCTCTTCACTCTTGTGTCAAGGACAAGAACTCGATGAAAGCTAAAGAGTAAGTGAGACTTTTCTCAAAAAGAAATAGGACAAAATAGAAATATGTATATTAAGAAAGAAACTGGAATGGCTATTGCCAAAATACAAGAAAACTAGAGACCCTTGAAACTAGACTAGAAGCAAGAAAGGAGTTGACAAGAGTGAAGAGGGCTTCACTCTTGCCTCTATATATACTATCTAACTAGAAGCCACGTGGCGATGTTCTATAAGACCTCCAATATATGTTGACTTTCTAGTCCACATGCCTTTGCTTGCAAGGCAAGTTTTCTATGGATGGACCACGTAGTTAGCTTGTTCTTTAAGCTTCCAACATGTGTGGCACATGGCTAACTTGTTGACCAAGTTTCTAACCTAAAAGTCAACTATAGACTCCTATAAAGTCAAAGCAGCGTCTATGAAGCTTCTAAGAAGCTTCTCTAGAAGATATTACACAATTAACCTACTTTTATCTACTTTTACATACTTTTATCTATTCATATAGGTAATTATATGTATGTCCGTGACATTACCCCCCCTTCTAGGGACGAGTTCCACGAGGAGCGGTGATTATATATTGAGAAAATCTAATATGCGGCGAATTGTATTTGCTACATACTCTGATCTTTGTTCTCTTCGAAGATAGTTGATGGGTCCTCTTAGCCATCGATAGTGTCCCATTCCAGGGCGAGAAGACCACCCTGTTATTTGATCACTGTTGAGGCCTTCATAACTTCCTTCAAATAATACATTTGAAACACCATCAGGAGTCGTTCCTATCTCCAATAATATCACCAAACATCGAGAATCTCTTCCAAGGTCGTGATACCAAACGCGTTGTATCTCACCATCTATTCGAGGAAGAACATGTCGTTCTTGAGGGTCTTCATCTCGGTTGTGTCGTCTTGAAGGTTGTGACAATCGCAATGTCTCATCCGGTAAGTCAGCAAACGAAGGTTCTTGAGTTGAATCCGCTGGTTGTTGGCTCTCCATCTAATTAGCGTCACAAAATGCAAAGAAGTTACAAACAAGGATAGGAAATTGAATTTTATCTTGCCTCAATCTTGTCTCTTTTATGAGAGAGGTTTTCATCTTAGTTTTGATGGATGTCGTTGATGAAAAACTTTGACTTTAGCTGATGCATTTGCTAGATTCCTAGATGGCTCTCATGTGCGCTCACTAATATCATATCCGCGCCAATGAACAAGATATTTCAGCTTATTTCGGCGCCGCCTTGAGTCTAATATCTCTTCCACCTCAAATTCTTCATTATTATCTACTTCTATAGGAGGCGGTGGCATTTGTCTTCTTCTTTGTATATCCACTGTCTTATATGGTTCAAGAAGAGATACGTGGAATACAGGATGGATCTTCATTGACTCCGGTAGATGTAACCGATATGCAACTGGGTTGATCTGTTCAGAAACAGAAAAGGGGCCAAGCCTACGATAGTCCAATTTGTCACAAGGTCGAGTGGTCTTGATATTGCGACGAAGTAGCCATACCTTATCACCCACGTTGAGTTGTGGTTGCTCTTTACGATATACATCTGCATTTATCTTTTGTCGTTCTTGAGCTTTCTTCAACTGCGCCTTCATTATTGCATGTAACTCTGACAACCGATTTACCATATCTTCTGCTGCAGGATTATCAACTTTTGAAAAATCAAAAGTATCAAGTCGTGGATGATAGCCATAATTGGCAAAGAAAGGTGTTTGTTGCGTGGAGGAATGTACCGTATTATTATAAGCAAACTCTGCCAATGGCAGAAGGTTTGTCCAATCATCTTGTTGGTAGTTGATGGTACACCTTAAATACTGTTCCAAGACTTGGTTTACGTGCTCTGTTTGTCCATCAGTTTGAGGATGGAAAGCTGAAGATAGCTTTATGTCCACTTTTAAAATCTTGAAAAGGGTCCTCCAAAATCTTGACACAAATTGAGTTCCCCTATCCGATATGATATCTTTAGGTAATCCATGATAGCGATAGATATTATCAATGAAAAGCTTAGCTGTTTCTTCACCTGTGATAGATTTTGTACATGGCATAAAATGTGCCATCTTGGTGAAACGATCTACTATCACAAATATAGAATCATAAGATCTTGAGTTTGGAAGATCTGTGATGAAATCCATAGAAACAGAAGACCATGGTTGTTCTGGTATAGGTAATGGCTGAAGAAGTCCGTAAGGTCGATGTCGAGGAATTTTTGATCTTGAACAAATATCACATGATTGTACAAAGTCTTTGACTGACTTCCACATTTGTGGCCACCAAAAATCTCTTGATATGAATTCTAGAGTCTTATTATATCCAAAGTGCCCTGCTGCTGGAAAGTCATGACGTGCTTGAAGAACACGCAAACGTGCTTTTCTTTCTGGAACATATAGGCGTCCTTCAAAATATAATAGATTATTCTTGAACTCGAACTTAGAAGAATCATGAGACTTGGAAGAATTATTCTTGATATCATGAACAAGAGGGTCTGAGGACATACTGGACTGGATTTGCTTGAGAAAAGTTGAATCAACAGTCAATGTTGATTTCACTGCTCGGAGATGAAATTGCTCCGGTTTCAAGAGGACCGTTCTTTGTTGCACAAAAGCTGCATCTCCTTCTTTTGGTGCAAAATAAGAACGTCTAGACAGGGCATCGAACAAACCTTGTTGTTTTCCTGGCCGATAAGTGATAATGAAGTCGAATCTTGACAAAGACATACTCCAACAAGCTTGACGACGATTCAACACGCGTGCTGACATGAAATACTCGAGGTTCTTGTGATCTGTATACACAGTGACTGGACTAGAAGCACCTTCTAAATAATGACGCCATTCTTGAAAGGAATCCACGATTGCAAGAAGTTCTTTATCGTGGATCTCATAATTGATCTCGGCTGCTGAGAATTTTCTTGAATGAAAAGCTATCGGATGAAGTTTGTCATCTGTTCCCATTTGTGATAAAACTGCACCCAAGGCAAAATCCGATGCGTCTGTTTCCATAAAAAATACCTTGGAAAAGTCAACACGATATAAGACTGGTGCAGAGACAAACGATGTCTTCAAGGCTTCAAATGCTGCTTCCGCTTCTTGATTCCATTGGAATTTATCTTTACTAGTCAAGCGTGTAAGTGGAGCTGCAACTCGTGAGAAATCTTTGATGAAGATCCGATAGTAATTGGCAAATCCCAAGAAACATTGGACATCTCTTACAGTCTTTGGAATCTTCCAATCTATGATTGTTTGGACTTTCTTAGAATCCATCATAAGACCATCATTTGAAATGATGTATCCTAAAAAGTCAACTTGAGTAGTGTAAAATACACACTTTTCCATCTTGGCGTACAATCCTGCATCTTTGAGTTTTTGTAATACTTGACGAACATGTATTTCATGTTCTTCAACATTCTTAGAATAAATCAGGATATCGTCTAGGTAGCAGACGACAAAATTGTCTAAGAATTCACGAAATACATCATTCATGAGATGTTGAAAAGCAGCTGGTGCATTCGTGAGTCCAAAAGGCATGACATTATATTCAAAATGCCCGTACCTGGTTCGAAACGCAGTCTTCCATTCATCTCCTTCTTTGATCCGTACTAGATTATATGCTCCTCTTAGATCTATTTTTGTATAGATCTTAGCTTGATTTAACTGGTCAAGGAGTCCTGATATCAAAGGTAATGGATACCTGTTCTTGATTGTGATCTTGTTGAGTCCTCGATAGTCAACACACATTCGTAAAGATCCATCTTTTTTCTTTACGAATAAAATTGGAGCTCCTGCTGGAGATTTTG